TATTGTTTAATTATTCTTTACACTATCTCTTCTTTTCTAATTTTACTCTAATGTCAATTTATTTTATGATTTTTCTTATATTTCTATAAACACTGGTTTTGAACTTTAATACTTGAACACAACAATTTATAAGATTAGATATGTATATTTGGGAGTTCATGCCAAAATATGTGAACTTACATATTAAACTTTATCTCAAACTTATCTTTAATAGGAGGTTAGTTTATGAATACTTTTTTATTAAAAACAATAATGAATTAATATATCATATATTTGTTTAATTTTTATTCAAAAATTTCATTATGTTGCAAGTATTTATAAATAAATAGTAAATATAATTTGGCATTCTTCAACATAATATTTCATATGTCAACTATATCATAAAAGCAAAAACTTATAATTTTACAGTATTATAAATATGTAAAAAGTTTTTATAATAACTCGTTTTTTTAATTGAAAAAAAGTATTTAAGTAAAATTAGAAAATCTTAATTCCTAGTTAACTTGATATGTAATTATTATTTTACTTTTAATAGCTTTGTCAACTGTAGTCAAAATAATTTTCCCTCTAGCTAACTCTGATGAAATTTCTACTAGTGTTTTCTCATCAGAAAACAAATAGAAACTTTATTAAATGAAATTTGTTGATCAGATTTATTATTGTGTCTGTTGACTATATTTAAAATGTTTAAAAACTATTTAACTAAATTTTAATAGTAGTCAAAATATAAGTAAATTTATTGTTTTAAAATTTTTGTCTCTAGATATTACATGATTCTTCTAAAAAGAAAAAAATAATGACTTCCTAAATAATAAATTACACGTGTGTGTGGTTTGGAAAATTCTCAGAATCACATATTGTAAAATACAAAATCTAATTAATTTTGTTTTTTATTTTTTGATATAATCTCCTCTTAGAATAACACACTTATTCCAGCAGTGTTCTAATGCCTTCACTCCAGCAAGAAAAGCCAATTCATTTATTTCTGCAAAATAGCTGTTAAGCTCAGCAATGACCTTTTTATTTGAAATTTCTTGCCTGCCAGCATTTTCTTCAGGTTTGGAAAGGGGTGAAAGTCACTAGGATCCAAGTCAGGAGAATATGGAGAATAGGAAAGAATTTAAGGCTGGCAAGTTTTGCTGGATGAGACAGACAGAATGCACTGGTATTATCATGATGAAAAAGGATTTTCTTATTCATACAAGTCCTTTACTCCACAATAGCAGTCTTCAATTTCTCTAACAGGTTATTATAATAAGTAGCAGTGATGGTCATATTCTTTTCCAAGTAGTCAATAAGGATAATTCCATAGCATCCCAAAAAATGAAGGACATGACTTTCCATGCTGGAGGAACCACTTTTGCTTTCTTTGGATTTGGTGAAAATGCATGTTTCTGCTGTTTACATTGTTGTTTAGATTCTGTAGTGGATCCATATCTTGTCTGTGATCAAATACTGACACAAAAATTCCCATGGATTCCTCTGGTAGATGTTCAAACACTCCTTGAAAGTTGTTGCCCACATACATTTTTAGTTGGCCTTGGGCAAATGCAGCACTCATCTTAGTCAGGCGTAGTTCTTGGGTTAGGATTTTATATAGCTGGTCAGCAGAAATACCCATGACCTCAGCAATCTCCCACACTTTCAAACAGTGGTCAGTCAGACATTATCAGGAATTTTTTCTATGTTTTCTGGGATAACAGCAGTTGCAGGTTTGTCTGCTGCAACTGTTAGCTTCCACATTTTCTCAGCAAGTTTGAAAAATGTCACCCAATTGCTTACCATTGAATATGACAGGACGAACTTCTTCAAAATTTGATACAAATTGGTTTTGATATTAATGGCATTAAACCCCTCCTTTACCAGATACTTTATCACAGCACAACTTTCTGTTTATCCAGTTTCTTCATTGTAATCAATACTCATTGCTTCCATTGTCTGCCAGAGCATTTTCTATTTCCTCTTTGGTACCAAAATGTTGCATGCATGATAAATAGTCATGCTGGTTCCTAATGCCATCTGTTTACATGAGAATAATTTTTCCATTCTGCAATGCTTTATGCAATTCTGAGAACTTTCCATCTATTCATATTATAAATACCATAACTTCATAAGCAATGTTATTTATTTCAATCAAGGATTTATTAAAAATAATAATGAATGACATGAGTGATGTCTATGTTGTAATTTTGGCTCAATACCTTGCTATCCAATAGACAATTTGAAAACAGCTCCAAATTCTTTAAAACATAATGCTGGTCAGAAAGTGTATGATGATTAAGGAAAGATAATTAGGTAAATTGGTTTTACACAGAAATTTTGACCCAGTCGAACCCTTTGATCCAACAGATTCTATTGATTTCTTTTTATGGAAATTTAGACCCAATACTCTATTTCTTCAATATAGTCTATTAAACCAATAGGTTCTGTTAAGTCTAAATTTCCATAAAACTAACAAAAGTTTTCCAGCAGTAACAAGTTATACTCAAAAGATTGGTAAGGGTAATATGGTGTACTGTACATATATACAAATAAAATAGAATCCAGTTAAATGTAATCACTCTGATACTTAAGTGTAGCCTACTGATAACAATAACTAACTGATAATATCTAACAATATAAGTAAATAAGACTACAATTAATGAAAATTTCAGTTTTATTGACTCTAACATTAAAAATATATCTTAAAGCAATTAAAAATGTACAACTTAACTGTTATTAATTAATATATAATTCATACTATATTGTTTTCTTGATATCACCTTTTAATGACAGCTAGTGTATAACTGAAATAAAATTTGCAAATAATTTAAACTACTATTTGCAAGAGAATAATTAAAACAATGTTTTACTTTTAAAGTACATAGCTATAAATGATAACTGATAATTTGCATATCATCAGCCACACATTGAGACTGAGCATGGTAAAAGCTTAAAAATGCCTACTTACCCAAAGATAATAATAACAATAATTAAATTCTGGTTATAATAAATGAAATCATAAGTGATTTTACCTTGTTTTACAACATACTAATTTTGACTATACTAAATTACTGATGATAATAATTGTCTATGATAAGTTGTCATACATAAATTTGTTTATATGTACTGTACTTTGTATATAATATGCATATATAAACCTATCTATCCTTTATATCTATATCTTCTTTTATATGAGATTTCTCATGCAGAGAATTTCTATAAGAGAACAAGCTGATACAGAAAATCTCAGATGACACACATTCTTTGTAATTATTGATTTTTTTAATATTATTTGAACTACAGATATTTTTTCTGCATTATTCTATTTTCTTATTTAATGTAAAATTTTCTAGTAATGAATTGTTTCAATTTTCAAAAATTGTTTTAAAATGATCTTTTTGTGTGCGATCTTATAACTAAATAGCATTTTAATGTACTGGTTCTAACTAAACACACAATTTAAATTCAAATAGATTGTAAAAAATAATTTTGTATAAAATAAAGATGAGCAGCTAATTAAAAAGAAAAATAAAAGCATAATTTTTGATGTTATTAAATATAAGAACTTTAAGGCAAATTTAATTATATTTAAAATAAATATTTCTCAAGCAAATTATCAGAAAGATATTTAAATAATTACATATAAAAAAAGGAAATGAAATAAATTAGCATACACAAATTTTTTAAAATTAATATTCAAATACATAATACAGTAATATCATTTATTTTGGATATTAATTTATACATTAAATATATCTTACATGTCTTAATTTTTTCACATAATTACATTAATCTCTCTCATAATTTTGTTGAGAAATATTTATTTTATATGTAGTTAAATTAATTAGAAAAAAAAACATTGATTTTATTAATAACAATAAGTATGTAACAAACTAAACTAATCCATAATTTAAAAAAAAATAAATAAATAAATCAAATGATAAATTTAGCACATCTATTTTTCATTAGTTATTAATTAAATATAATGTAATTTTTATGTTTGAAATGTTCATATCTTACAATTTTATTAGCATGTAGCCTATTAGTATGTATAGCATTTTTTTTAATAAAAAGTACACACTACTTTGTTGAATATCAAAATTAAAATCATTTGAAGATTATGAATTTCATGATTTGGCTTTTTAAATTTTGCAATTTTTAACTGTTTCATAAACAATTAAAAAAGTATTTATGTATTTTTATTTTATATTTTGCATATATATGACTTTAATACTAACATGAAATACCAAAATTTTAGAAAAGTTTTAATTCATTTTGATTATTTTCAACAACTAACAAGTAGGAAAAATGTAAATAAATCTGTTAAATCTGTTATAAAGGATTTACAATGCATATAAAACAAATTTTCCATATTGGTAAATGAAACAATGTGACCTCCATCCTAATTTTAGACCATAATTAGCAAATATAGTACAAGTATTTGTGTTTGTTTAGAATTTTTCATACTAAATCTCGCAAAAAAAAAATGAAATTTCGTTATGCCATAATATTTATCATTTTTTAAAATTAGATCAGGCAATAAAAGTTAATTAAGTTATTTAATAATTTAAAGTGGTGTAATTATGTAAGATTGTACTTTGCATTCTTATATTGTGTTTACATATTTTAAGCAGGAAGAGCTATTTTATATTATAATCAAATGAATTCTTCAATAACAAAATTTTTTACTAATTCTATTCGTTAAAAACCAGAACTGTTTTGCAACATTCATCCTTCGAAAACAACCCAGAAAGGAACTTGTTCCCCTTTTTCTTCGACTATGTTTGTCAAAAATGAAGTTTTTGCGGGAAAAATCAGGTCAAAACAAAGAGAATCGAAGTGATTTTTATCTAGTCGACGATTTAAATATATTTTCTACAATAATATAACTTTTATCAACGACCATCAAAAAAAAAAAAGGCAGACAGGTCGAGAAATTAAACATCACGATTCATTCATACATGAACAGGATTCAAGGTCTGGAGAATAGAAAAAAATAACTTAAGATTGTGTCTTACCCGTTTAAACGGATCTTCATCGATGACCAATTTTTAAAAAAACAGAGAGAGGAAAAAAAATCACACTTAACAATTAATAAAAAAAATAATAATAGACGGGCGACTGCCACGTTTACAATCTCCAACACATGAACTTAAATCTTTGAACTTTGAACTCGAAGCGATCGATATACCAAACATAATTCTTAGATATCCACAATTATATCGTCCATTGCTTTACGTATCCGATTACCGTCAAACTTTATACGGTTTTTAAAGCTTGAAAAGCATCGGTCAATCCTCCCTCGATACAAACTTCTTTCACAACCGAAGACCAGAAAACAAACGTTTGACGTTCTGACGACACAACTTTCAATCCTCGACCCTGCGTCACATCCGGTTTATCCAAAGAAGGAACGCTATTGGTTCGAAACCAGTTTCGATCAGAGTTACGCAATCGGCCTGCAACGCAAATTATCCATGAGAGATTGTATAACGGATGCAAAACATCGTGCAAATAGCAACGAAATCGTTCGAACGTACAAAACCAAGATAACTGTTTTTTATCTCCATTTATACGAAAAATTCTTTCGGTATCGATCTTTACTTATTTAGCAACCATCCTGTATCATTCCCTATGAGAAAAGGCGAGGTTATGGTCTACTTTTATATTATTAAATGCCGTTAATATCGATATGCCAATGAAAAATTACTTTCGATGGAGTAAAGATTCGGTTAAACTATCAATCACGAAACTGTCAGTAGAGGAAATACCGCTTAGTCATTCGATTTTCCACTCAGCCTGTATAATTCAGATGGGTTCACGTCGTTTAATTTCGCGCTCGTAAAAAAAAAAAAAAATGAGCGGCTGTTTAATGTTCATTGACATAATGTACGTATTTTTAGAACTGATGTCATAATATGAAATGGGCCATTCGGTACTTTTAATGGTTAAAAGTCCCGTTTAAAATTTAAAATCGAACCAAAAGGGGAATATATTTGACTTCATATCTTATTTATACAAGGCAAATAGCAATGCAATTTTACCCATTTTCTTAATCGCCGTACAGTAAATAAATTTAATATTTATATTGTGTAGTAATATAAATTTCAATATAAAATAAGTATAAATTTAAATCTGTATTAGAGTTGGTGCAAATTAAAATTTACATATTTCAAATATATGAATATTTTCGAGGATATAGGTTTGTACATATTTAGCAAAATAAAATTACTTGCAACGTATGTAGATTAGCTTGTACTGTACAATTGTGTAACGGTATGCTTCAGCAATATTACGCCTACACTACCTTAAAAGTTAATTATGTCTATCGTGCAAAAAGAAATTTTAATTGTCGAAGAAATTTACCTGGAAATCGGACGTGTTGCTTGCTTCCATTACATTTTTAAAGCGTAACTACGCTTTTTACTGGTTTGCAAAAGGAAAATGAAAGACTTAAACAGGAAGTGTGGTAATGTAGAATCGATTTGTTTATTTTTTTTAGTTAATTCAATCGATAACGTTCTCTTTTAAAATTCCCCAGTAAAGCTTAACACGTCGAAATAAATTTAAAAGTTATTTGTAATCAAAATACCGTAACTGTGTCAATAAATCTTGGGATATTTCAAGGTAAGTTCAATTATTATTATTATTTCGTGGTGTTAAAAATAATGTTTTATATAGAATCAACAAGACGAAATTGAATATTATATATTTATTATTGAATTATTTTGATGAATACAAAATTGCTGCGGTACTTAAAATTTATTTTTTTTTTAAATATACAAAAGTATGAACTGAATTTAAATGGAAATAAAATAAATATGATCTGCTATTTAATGAGATACAGTAGTTCATATTGATTATAGTCTATAAGCTAAGTTGTTTTCAAGTTAAATAAAAACTAAAAAATTAAATCATTTATTATCATATTTAATAAATTATATTATATTATACTACATACAGTATATTGTTATAATCATTATTTTGTATGCACAGTGGCGAATTATCCTAACTTATGTGGGCAAAAAGGGGAATTGCCTGGGACCTCCACAAATAAGTGGTCCCAAACCAATCTTTTATAAACACATTACTAAGAATATCGAAATTTAAATTTGGGCTATATCTGGGGACTCTAGATTGCCGGAGTGGCGCAGGCACAGGGTGCACTGGTACAACGCAGAGGTCGTGTTAAAAAACGAACGAGAATTCCCCAAAATTCCCCGAATAAAAATGTTTGAAGTCAACACTGTACAAGAGGCCCCTCTAATTCAAATTTGCCTAGGGTCCATGAATCTATAACGCGCTATAGGATAGGCATATTGTCGATTTACGTATCTCAGACATGATATCATTTATTATTTTCATTAAATTTTCTTAAATTAAGGATAATCATTATCATTTATAAAGTTTAAAAATTACTTTATAAACGATAATGATTAAAAGATAGCCGACATGTAATGTATGTAGCCTATAACAGCATGATCCTAGTTAGTCCGTTATCTGAATAAAAAGAATTAGCATTACAGTGAATTATCTTTGAGAAATGCAATACATTACTGTCAATCTCCACGTGTAACTTTAAATTAAACAATTCGGAATGTCAATTCGGATTATGCAACACATTTAATTCGGATCCTTAAAAGAAAGTCCAATTTGGCTTGCTTAAAAGTGTAGATTCAGCATAGATAAGGATAGAATTTAAATATCTTTGCTTTTTAGATGAAAACGAAGATTTTCAATGTTGTAATAGCTAGAATATTTATCTAATTTAATAATTATTGATAATTAGACTATAATTAAGGTTATCTTTATAGAACATTCTTAAGAGCAGCTTCTTATGTAACGTTTTAGCATTATCAATTAATGCATTTTTATTGCAACTGAAGGATAATGATTATAATATGATCCACTTTATCAATCGGTTTATTTTTCATTTATTATTGCATTTAAAATTTAAGAAAGACAGATCTATCTTCTAATATTTATAATAAATTGGCAAATGGAAGACAGCTTAAATTGATTATGTAGAGATTATTAGAGTACGGTAATTGACAAAATTTAATATTTAAATTTAGAAGGGAAATAAATTTAGAACAGAAAAAAATAGAGTAATAATGTCAAAGAACTTTACAAAATTAAAAAAAGAAATTTTTATTGATTAAAACAGATTAAAAAAAGGAGATAATGAAAGTTTACAATGTAGCTTTCTTCATATAGATTATCATTCAATAATCTTGATACGAAGTTATCAAGATAATTAATGAAATATCTGTAATATTATTTTATTAAATAAATTTATATCTCGCTAAAACAATAGCATTGTTTCATGCAACAAAAGAAAAACCTTCGATATCAAATCCAATTGTAATAATCAAATATTACCAAATTGGCTTTTAATAATAGTTAATTTTCTGTTTGAATAATTATATTGAAGGAAAATAATAATAAATTATATCCTCGAATCAACCGTTTTAATTTTTTTTATACCTAAAAGATTACAAAAGTCTGTTTCGTATCTATTACAGTGAAGAGAGAAACGGGCCCCGATATATCCGGGTCAACCTCCTACTTTAAAAATTCCTGATGAACCAATCCTGATTTCATATGTTGCTATAACATATAATATACTAGTTAATATAAGCAGAAAATATTACAGACTTTTCAAATTTTCATTATTATAGTAAGTGCATGTAAAAACTACATTTGCGTTACTTAAAATAGATATATCAGAATGTTTCTATATAACTTACACATGCATGCATTATGTACAGAATGTATTCAGGAATGGGACCAGACATTCATATGTTTCTTTTAACGAAAAGTATACTTTATATGTTTTATTTTTAGATATACCCACGAAAGATCTATCATACTTTCAGCCCTATTCTTGATACGTCTTAATGATGACACGCAGATACGCCACTGATTTTATATGAATAGATATTTTGCAATATAGACTGTAGTAACAACCATATAAAAAAATGTATAATATTATATAAAATGGTGTAAATTGTCAAAAAATCTGAATGATTCCTTTTATCATTCGTTTTATCCTTAATGTAGTAAGTCTAAAACAGTAATAAGCAATCTTTACGGGATTCGACCTGCAAGGGAACTTAGTAGGCTTTTGGTGGGCCTCATGCATTTTTTTTCTTATAGAATTGCAGGATTTCAGCCTTCTAATACCAACATACTCCATAACCACTAGCTACTAAAATATACTAATGCAAACTAACATAAGTTTTCATGTTTTCACTGATCGAGTTTAGTTCAAACGTTATTCGTCAGGAATATCAGCTTAATTAAGATTGCATAATGGCACTATGCAGAAAACAGGAAAATAAAATTCCTTTTTCAAGGCCCCGAGGCCACATATTAGGACCTCAGACACGAGTTGCTCGTGACTGGTCGAAAAATTAATAGCAAATTCGTTGAAATTTGAGATCCTTTTTAGGATCTCAAAGAATCTTAAATTTGTAAATAAATTAATTGATAAATTATGATCTATTAAGTTATAATAAATTATTATCGAACATTAAAATTTTGAAAAATTATAAATGTCAGATATTTTTAAAAGAATCTTTCTGTAGCATTTAAACACCGTTTTCATACCTTACATACGTACTGTATATGAAATTGCAGAGATTTATTGAACAAATGCAAATCGATTATTCAATAAAATCTCAGAGACTGACTTAAAATATATAAAATATTTTGTCTATTTTAAATTACTTGTATATAAAATTTTAAAACTAAAAAGTTGGTTAGTGTTTCCTAGATTTCACGATTTCACTTAAAGATGCTTATTCTGTGATTATCGTGTAAAAAATTGAAAAATAATTGTTTATAAAAAAGTCTTTTTTATGTAAGACAGTGTCGAAATGATTACAAAATATAGAAAAATAAAATAGATCAGAGTGTTATGAGGGACTTAACCATCTCACAGGAGGCTTTGAGATGGTTAAGCCCCTCAGCTTATTTGGCAGTTCCCGTATGCAATATACTGTATATAATAAGTTATATGCTTTCGCTTTCTTAACCTGTTAATTTAACCCTACGATACTTTGAAGCAGACTCCTGTGCAAGTAACGAAAAGGGAAATAATCTCAACTTCCCAACTTTATTTATCAGATATTTATAAGATTAGATTCTAGTATCAATTGTAAGTAATCAAAAAACAAACGAAAATAATCAGAATTCCTAAGTAAATTCTAACGTTAAAAAAGAGCGAAGGAAATAGGATTGCCCTTTAACTCGTATGCATTTATATTAAAACTTAATTCTACATCTTTTACGGAAAGTCTTTCTACACCGTACTGTTTAATCTCTACAATTCCTTATAGAAGAATAGGTTTATCGGTTGTGAAATGTCGCACGATATCAGCTCCGTTTAGAGTTGAAACAATAAACATCTGTTTCAACGCTAGATTGATCCTTTTAATCTAAGCAATTAAGCGACATAATCAGCTGACACAGACGAAGACAGAGGATTGCATTTAGTTGACGAACTGAATCACTTCTGAATAGTTTTTTAAATTTGTAATAGACACTTTTAATTAAATATTAGAGCCGTAATTTAACTACACTATAAAAAAAGAACTCATTTATAAACAATGCTGTCCTATAAGTTATATAATTAGAATTCTAGAGACAGAGAAAATTCATCATCACTGTCAGTACTCATTTACACTGTCATTGCTCTTATTTCTAAAAAATTCCATTAAACTCAATACTGAGTTGGAAAAGTTAATAGTAAGAATTGAGTTTGGCTTTTAGTTTTGTATATAATTATATATATATATATAGTTTTAATCTCGACATATCAGAAATTCATTAGCATAACGTGATAAATTATAATAATCAGATTATCTGATTTGTATTGTAATTAATTTAGTTTCAATTTTATATCTTATTTGTTAGATATAAACAAAGATAAAGAAAGTAAATATAACTGCAAGCTTTGCGTGTATTCGTTTCGTGTAACAATTAAATTAAATGTAAAGATTAAGTTGTCTTTCCTCAAGGCTACTTGTTTGCAAATTGGTTTCTGACGTCGAACTATAATACATAAAAACAATACAACAAATTAACAATAAATAACAATTTTTAAATTGATTAAATTTATTTAATTTTTCTTTTAACTTACTGAAATATTGCATTGAATATTTTATCTGAATTCACCTAAAATAATTGTTGTTTTTTAAGTTAAATGAAAGGTTCTGCAGTATTTTAAATATAGTTAACATTACCTTGAGTCGACGTGTTTTTTTACAAAAATAAAAAAAAAATACATTCTGAAAATAAAGTATAATTTAAGATGTGGAAATTATTATTGATAAAATGTCATTGAAAATGAAATTAAGCAGATGATTTGCAATATTTTCAGAAGGAAAAGTCATGTTTTTAATTATGAAACCAGTCGGGGAACAATTTAATCTATTTTAAACACAAAATATTTAACCTATATATGTAATGAGTAACTTAATTTCTGTATCGATTATTTACTAGAATAATAAGCAAATATTCCTTAAACTATTATAAATCGCCATCAAACCAAATAAGTGAATAGACGTTTTTCGATTTTATTATATTAAATAAATCAATGTTACAAAAATTTAAATATATTT